CCCCCAATTTAATGACCTTGCCCTAAGTCTAGTAAAAGGCGAGAATGTACATGTTAATTATTTTCATTGTTTTCCATTGCACATCTTGGATCCCTTTAGAAAGTTAAATCTTGTCTGAATCAGCACAATGATGATCAAATTAGTAAGTAAACTTACTTGTCTAACAGTTGAATCCTGTCCAACCACTCGCACAGAAGCAAATGAAGCCATCTTTCTGTCAGGATTTTCTTGTGAAATTTGACACCATTTATACATGGTCGAAAGCCTACGCCTTATAGTTTTAAACCTGATAAAACAAGCCTGCTCATTATTAAGCTATACTTTTTTTTTCTTTTCTAATCACCGCATTTCAATCGTATTCCAAGTGCTCCTGATCCAATGCAATCCTTTTGAATAATTTGAATGATCTGTTTTATGGGAAAAGGGACGAGAGAGAAACAGAAATAAAAGACATAGTGTGAGGAAATAAATAAATAAAGCTAGTGAAATAAAAACGCAAAGAAATGAAAACTGTCAAACGGATATGATCAATACGTTTGCTGCAACTTACCTTAAAACCTAGCCTGCCAAACCCTTTCTCCTTCTATGCATTTGTTAAACATTTAATGCAAGTCACATACTCAACAAATGCTTTCGAGCATTTGCAAGTATGATCCACATGTTTTTTTGTCAACCCCCAATAGTTATACGCAACATCGAATTCAAAATTGTGTTCAATTTTTTGATTGATAGGAACTAAGCCAGCAACCACTTGTCTACAAGTGAGTGCACGCTTCCAATATAAGTTCAGTCTATTTGACAACCGGCCATAAAGCAAAGATCTTGCTTTATGTCGTTTGAGTTGAAAATATATGATGTAGATAAGGTTTGCTTTAAAACTATTTTGTCTCCTTTCGATAACAAACTATTAACTATTATTCTATCAAGAAAATTATATATTCTCGATCTCAAAACCTTTTCCACCAACCCCTCTCCTCTTCCGATTACCATCGCTCTCGTCCTCTGCATACGCACGCAAACTATTTCAGTGTGTTCCTATTGTGCACCACCACAGATTCTGGGATGAGATATCAAGACCAAGCATGCAAAACAACTCACTCGATGGCTTTGCTGTTGGACTTTGGTTACTTGCATTTGCAGTATTCATTGAAGAAGGGATCCTTGTAGCTCTTAAACCTAAAAAAATAAATATTTTAATACAAAATAATTTTTAATACAAAATGGGGTTTTGGGGAGTATCTGGATCATTGAAAAATAAATATAAATATAAAAAAAAAGTTCGAGCATAGAATACTGACTAACTGATTCTTTGCCAATTCTACTTTAAATAGGCATATTTTACTAGCGGAACGAAAAAATTGAGAATTTACTTTGGGTGCAGTTCTGTCCTTCCCATCCATGGGCACACTTGCAGCTGAATCCATTGACCAAGTCAGTACAGTTACCTCCATTCTTGCAGGGATTAGAAGCGCATACATTGATGTCTAATTAGAACAAGAATAGTATTGTGAATATGATTGGATATTGCTTCATGATCATTTGAAATAAAGGAATAATAAAAAAAGAAACGAAAACAGAAGGAAAAAAAGAAGTAACTAAAAAAAAGAAGGAAATAAAAAAAATCCTTGGATAGTATCAGTAAAAACCTGAAATCCTTGTTTCTTCGTGAAAACGGAAATTAGAATTCACTATTCGTTACCTATACCAACAATGCACTTAATTAACTTGATGATATTTAATAGTTACATTATTATATGATTTCAATGAGCTTTATTAGTTATATTTTTTCTTTGTCTTTGCCCAGTAAGCTAAAAGCAAAATTTACCTTTGCTGCAGTCAAGTCCTTCATATCCAGGAATACACTGGCAGAAGAACGCTTTGATTAAGTTAGTACAGGTACCTCCATTCTTGCACGGGTTGGACGCACATTCATCGATGTCTAATAAAAACAAGTAAATGGATGACTTCATTAAAAAATTGGTTTATTTATTAGTAAGTAATATAAGATATTCAAGCACAGGATATTAATATTATTGTTACTTTTGGTGTAGTCAAATCCTTCCCATCCAGGAGACGCAACTGCAGCTGAATCCATTGACTTTGTCAACACATCTACCTCCATTCCCGCATGGGTTTGGAGCACAGTCATTGATAAAATAAACAACAAAGCTTTTTACTTAAATGATATAACAAAATAGGAGTAGTACGTTCATTTCCTAGAAGCACCGTAGAACGACAATAGAATACAAGACAATGCAGACAATATAAAACAATATACACTACTATGACACAATATATGCATTATACATATTTATATATAGGCAAGTCTTTTCGTTGCTGCAGTTAAGTCAAGCATGGTTGGTTAGGTATAGAATTGGTCACATTTTATCCCTCAGTTCCGTTTTCATGTATGCCTAATGACCTTGCCGTAAGTCTTTTAAAAAGTGCACTTGAGTAATTGCAGTATAAAGTTTTCTTACCAATATTAATGTCCAAAAATGCAATTGATAATGACATTGCTTATTTAAGTAATTTAATACTACGTTATATGATTCCACGAGGTGGGAAAGTATAACTGTTTTGTTACCTGTGGCGCAATTTTGTCCTTGCCATCCAGGGCTACACCTGCAGCTAAACCCATTGACCAAGTCAGAGCAGGTACCTCCATTATAGCATGGGTTGAAGGCACACTCATTAATGTCTAATGAGAATAAGAAAGGAAAGACACACTTGAAAAGCGATCCATTTATAAGACGAAATATTCACATAAATAAATATAATAAAATAAATATAATAGTTATATAAATCCACAAAGTAGGTGAAGTATAACTGTTTTGTTACTTGTGCCGCAATCTTGTCCTTCCCATCCAGGGTTACACCTGCAGCTAAACCCATTGACCAAGTCAGAGCAGATACCTCCATTCTTGCATGGATTGGAGGCACACTCATTAATGTCTAATGAGAAAAAGAAAGTAAGTACATACTTGGACGATTCATTCATAAGAAAGAAATATAGATATAAACGATAATTTTTTTTTTCTTTACTTGTGCGGCATTGTGGTCCTTGCCATCCTGGGCTACATCTGCAGGTAAACCCATTGATCGAGTCAATACAGTTACCTCCATTATTGCATGGGTTAGAAGCACACTCATCGATGTCTGATGGGAATAAGAAAGTAAAGACACACTTGAAAATCGGTCCATTCATAAGAGAGAAATTTAGAATTAACCGGAAAAAAGGGAAAAATTTTGAAACAAAGGAAATATTAAATAAAAAAACTAATAATAATACAAATTACATTAACTTAAGATCATTGCTCGAAATGGAAAGTGGCAGCTGAGGGTGTATATTTAGTGCTTATTCGTGCCACTAGCAGCTTTATATTTGGTGAAGGATATTTATTATAGCATTCACACTATTATACATATCTGCATACATTATATTTTTATATAAGTTAAATTTTTTTAAATGATTTCTTAGGTGATGAAAAGTGGATGTATATTATATATATATATTTTTTCGTTACTTTTGGTGCAGTTCTTTCCTTCCCATCCTGGGGCACACTTGCAGCTGTAAAAATTGTCCAAGTCAGTACAGGTACCTCCATTACTGCACGGGTTGGGTGTACATATGCTATCTGAAAATAAATAGCAACGCTTATTACTCAACCAATATACCAAAATAGGCACCTACTTTTCACTGCTCGCTACCTCTCATGTAACGAAATTATAAGCCACTACAAGCAAATGAGAATCCGAAACTTTATAGAGGAGTATTTATTATTAGATATTTTAAATATTTTAGACAAATATAAATCTAATGAAGAACATTTTTCAAAACGTTTTGGCTGAATAGTATATATTCTATGATTGTCAATGTTTTCTTCAAAATGCAAATAGAAAATTAAATTTTAGTGTTAAACCCTGTAGTATAGCATGTAAAATAGTTAATAACATGCTAATGCTCCCTTACTTAGATATTAAATCCTTTCAAAATTATCTTATGAAAGCCAACCGGATTTGGTGCCAAATCAATTTCACTTGTACATTTCTATTAGCAAAATGGAATCAAACATAAATTACTTTGTTCTATTACTTACCAACACTCGTAAACATCAAGATGATAAAGGCAATTAAGAGCAGTCCCGTGAAATAAGCCTTTGCTTTATACATTGTCGTGATAGAACACCGATACAATCTGGACTTGTTACGATCGTGGATCGCTTTATAATTTCATTGAGCAAATGTGACTGATTTATATGAGAACGATTGACACGTTTGGCAATATAAGACTAATAAAAGGGCTCTTATGAGGTCTAGTGATTTTTCATAACATATGGAATGCATTAAATATAGATTATTAATGATCAATTTCTGTCCTACACCAAGTCAATTGGAACAACGCAAATCAAATTATGATGTTAATAATAATAATAATAATAATAATAATAATAATAATAATAATAATAGAAAGACAAGCAACGGATTATATTTGAAGGAACAATGTAGGAATGTAGGAGAGTACTTGTACTTGATAGGTATAAAAAGAAAACTGTTAAATATACTGACTTAAGATCTAGTCTTAAAAAAATGTACCCTGGATATAAAGTAACTCAAGTAAACATAGTATTTGATTTTCTATCTGGATACCTAATGGATTTGATTAGTAAACTGGCTGATGTAGGCCTCACTGAAGGAC